TCGGAAGAGGCATATGTGATGCTTAGGAGTCCCTTTCATCCAGTGACACATGACCAGGATATGCATCACAGGAGGAAATCCGAGTCCTCATTTTGCCTGAAGAACCCACACATCCCACAAGAATGCAAGAGTATATACTGGGGTGGAGAGCTCTCACCTTTTTTGCTGACCCTCCCTCCCCACCTTGTACGAGTTGAACATTCACGAGCACGGCTACTGCACTTCCCTGAGAGTGCTCTAACAATCAGCATCAAGTCATCCTCTTACTTAATGTAGGGTGAAGCATTTTATGAAAAAGCAAAGCCGCTCTGAGCCTGGGACTGAGCCCTCTTGAGCCAAAACACTGGGGAATTGACTTGTCCGATTCTTGCCATCATACTGGAAACCTCTGGTTCTCCCTGCTGTCGGTGTTAACATGAGGAACAACAGAGAGCTCCCCGAATACCCAAGAGCTGAAAGAAACTTTTTGCAAGTCGGTGGAGGAGGCTTCAAAGTGTACGAAGGCAGAAGTGACCAAATCCAGACTCTGAAAAGCCTCTGTAAAAATCAAATCACTCCTCTTTCCTAAGGTTCTGTATTTTGGGATTTTCTTTTGGTTTGTAAGCCAAACACTGAAAAAATATTTCCATCTAGAGCTATTTACTGTCAGAGCAAATTCACAAGTGACCTGAAGACGATAAAGTTTCCATCCAGCCATTGCCTAACTTACTCTTCACTGAAAAAATCTTGTCCAGCTCTATCCTAAACAGATCTTGTAAAGCAGAAAACTCTTTCAATAATTTGCTACAGGGGTTGTCAGGCAGTGCTCTGTGGAAAACCAGTTGATTGTACACTGTTCTTTCCTATTTCCAGTTGGAAAACTGAATTAAAAGTATAGTTAAAACACGTTAAGCGTTTAAATTAATACTGCCTCTTTATATACAATGGCTGTTGTTAAAAGGAGCATACATAGCTGCAAGTAGAAAAGGAAGATGTCTTCCTGACAGACTACTAACATATAGTCATTATGCATATATCCAACACCCTGTTTATCCTAAACATTGACCTCAATGGCTAACCAGAAAACGCGTGGCTGAAGCACAAGAGCATGGGTTACCTGATGTATGAAAAGTTCCTCCTCCTTGTTATGGGTAGGCACAAAAAGAAAGGGGAGAGAAGGGGAGAAGAGGGAAAGGAAGGGTAACAGATGAAGAATACTTCTCTATACTTATAAAAGATGACAGTGGACTTTTTTGGTTGCACAAGTAATACAGAACTTGTAGGACCTTAAAGTCAGAAAAATTTAATTTGATGAACTGAGAGGTAAAACAATATCTAGACAGCTGTTTTAGTAATTGTTACTTAATCCACCACCTTTAGTAGCAGGGGAACCTTTACAGGCCTAATGTTAACTTGGCATCCCCAGCTGTAGGATCACAAACTTTGAAAATTCAGCACACTCATCCCTCTATAAAGCTTCAGCTTTGGTTCTCTACTCCAAGATACTCAGGATTTTGAGGCTACAACATACTAACTAAGAAAGCACTGTGGATATGCTGCAACAGTAACCTACAGAAACAATATGTTTCTAAACAAGTTACTAAAGCAGCATCTTCCTCTTTGTGTAACAAAAGTGAACAAGGCCATTGTTCCTAAATTCCAGGAATTTTAACATTTATACTTTTTTACTTAAAGCTTTATTTTCTTAGTTGAAATCACGCTACACTTTCACACAATGCTAAACATGTACGTAATACTGTTTCATCAAGTTAGAACTAACTAAAGAGAAAAGAAACTAAAATTTATCATTAGTGCAGTCACATAAGACCCCTCACAAAGGCAATGCCAACGTTATTCAGACTCACCAAAAGCAAGCTCCCTACTAACTGATGCAATCTAGATGTTACAGTCTAGGCTTTGGCATTTCCAGATGTCACAATTCAGTGAGCTAATTCACATTACTCAATATAAGAGAATACAGCTTTGCAACGAAAGGGATGGGATCATGTACACCGATTTCTTTATCAAGGACATCTTTACATAAGCTCTTGGGCACAGGAGGGGGTAG